TCCCTAGGCTCTGAATAACCACAACATTACAGTTTTCCATATAATGAGGTAGCAGAGACAATGAATGTCAATTCAAAGCCAAAAATTAGCACTCTAGGAGTTGGCATGCGATGGAGCAAGATTGCAGAAAGTTGGTTTGGTGGCATGTCAACAGGCAGAGAGCCATTCTCCCAATTTCTTTTTATCTTTGAATAAGTTCCAATTAGAACTGATCTTTAAGACAAACTGAAGATGCAGATAAATGGAGTGGGGCACGGGAAGGCAGAATTGCAGAGAGGCAGGCACAGGTCCAACCCTCTTTGCAAGAGGACTGCCCTTCTTTGCCAGGACTGCTGTGAAGGCAAAGACATGGTTAAGAGATCGTGTGGGAGGCCTCACAAGGGACAGCATTTTGACATTTATTTTGATGGCCTGCTTCTCAGTTCCTGCTGTACTGCTCAGGAGAACCTAGTAGCGTTTCTTACCGAGGACAAGGCTAGGTGGGGGCACTTCTCATTGTCCCACTACCCAGGTCTGGTGATAAAAGAAAGACCAAGGCAAAGACTCACAGCCACCCTCTCAGCTAAGGTGGGTGCCAGAAGCTGAAATGCCCGACAGGCAACGCTGGATACGCCCAGGAGACCTTTTTCAGGAGCATGGACTCTCCCAGCTCATGCTGCCCGGAGCTGAACACGGACACTCCTTGGAGACCGCACCTGAGAGACCCAGCTGCTCACCTCTCTGAAACAGAGACCAGTGCTGTGCTTCACACTCAGCTTCCCTTCAAACGCTGTTGACTGCTTGCCTTGTTGAGGATAAAATTGATAGTTCTTACCATCTTCAACAACACCCTTCACAAGCTAACCTCACTCCCTCCTTCCCTGTGTCAGGGACGTTGCTGTGCTCCACAGAGGAGAAGTCAGGAAGAAGGTCTGCTTGGCAGCAGGGCTGCAGGTAAGGAAACCCACACAAGGCAAGAACAGGCCAAGCCAGGCCCTACCACGTTTCAATCAAAAACACGCACTTTGGCTGCAACAGGGGAAACAGCTTCAAAGAATCCATTCATGAGAAGAATCCAGCAGATTATCTGGCAATTCATACGCCAGTGGAGGTAAGCAATAGAAACTTGCAGATTAGTTACACCAGGATGGATATCAGCCAGGGTTTACTGGATGCAAATGATTCAGGTATGAATTAACAACGCGAATCACTCTTTGCTCTGGAAGCATAGGTGCAGAATTGAAAATGTGAGCCGTATGGCAGAAAATATATGGCAGTAAAAGAACAAAGGTAGAAACAGGTAAGATGACCGTGTGATGATGAAGCAGAGTGCTCTGAATACATACAAATATAAAAGACATCCTAGGCTGTGAGACCGTTTAGCTGCTACAGACACTACCTATCTCCTAATGGGGAAAAAAAATTCAACCTTTTCCTGGTGGGCCCTCTTGTTACCTGGCAGGGTGTCAAATAGGAATCAGTTTGAGTATGAAAAAAGTTCTTCTTTTCCACTTGTTACGTTGAGATTGAGTGCAGTTGGTTCAAGGAAAGCATTACGTTTTCTCATCAGTGTTAATTCTCCAGATCCTTTGCCAGACTTAATATATTCCAGCAGAGGAAGACAGATAGGAGGACCTAGGACTTGCTCATCTTACCTGTAATACTTTGCCCTGGGGGCTCTCAGCAAAGAGTAACACCTGATTGTACAAAGGGTCTAATGATTTGCGAGCCACTTTTGTCTTCTTTTTCGCAATGCACACGCCATTCTCTAGCAGGTAAGCTTTGATGTAAGCAGCTGGAAAAAACAAGTAATGGTCAAATATGAAAAAATCTTCATGCTCACTTTAGAAAAGACAGTGTTCTTTCTAAAGACAGCATTTATAGCAATGGAAAGATTTGCTCCATCAGCCTTATTTTCAACATCATGTACAGACACAGATGCTTATTCCCACAGAAGCCAAGCAGAATCAAAATTTTACCTATTCACAAGCATCGCAGGAGGCTGGAGCTCAGTGAATTATTTTAGGAGGTCAAAGCATACTACCTGGCAGTGTTTTGGAGCCGGGTTTTGGCGTCAGTCCTCGGGCCTGAATGATATCCACCTCTAGCTGCCCATTTCGCTCTTGTAAGCCAATCTCCACATCCCCTAAACCAAAATGTCAAAATAGACAGAAGACTTTCAAAACAATACATCTGTGGGCTAATAAAATGTTAAAAAAAAAACCAAACAACCAACCAACCAAACAATCCTCATGTCAGGCCTGCTATGAGCTGTAATAAACTGTAGGCCCTAACTGCCTGGTCTCCTGCTGCGTTACTCTGGAGCAGCTTTGCAGTGGTTCAAGTCTACATTTTCAAGAGCAATCTCTAATTTCAGCCCTCTGACATGACTCTGGTGACTCAGTCTCATATTTTTCAGTGACAGCTAGCCTCTAATCCCTCCCAAAATGGAGCACCTAGAATTGTAGGCTGCTTTGGAAAATGCAGTTATGGTGCACCATAAGAAAATCTTTACAGAGGCTGGTGGATCTTAAGAGAGCAAGAAAAACATGAAGACGCAGAGAATGCATTTTCAGGATTTTAGCTGCATTTTACATAGTCTACGCTTTTCAGATCTGACAGAAGAAAGCATAAAGCTGGTGTGCTCCTGCTAATGCCATATTAGCCGAAATCAGCAAAACCTTTCAGCCAAGCTTATTTAATTTAACTGAGAAAATGAGCTGGGGAATAGTAGAGCAGCAGATGCTCAACACGTTATTAGGCGGCTCATAGGAGTGGTTCATTCAAGATGAAATTACAGCTACCCAACATCATTGTGTTCCTTACCCATCGAGGTGGTGGCCAAGGTCTGACGCCCAACAAATTGTGCAGGGCCCATGCTCCCCAGGAAATCGCTAAACTGCCCAGCAGATGCCAGATGGACGCCACTGAAATTCAAGCTGTAAAAGAAATTGAATTTGTCAAGTGGCTAGTTTGCATTTTAAAACAACCTAATAATTAAAGAGCCTGATTTAATGCATCTTTGAAACGAATGGCATCTACAGAAGCCTCTTCCCATACAAAACTCACAGATTCCCAGGCAGTTACACAGGATCCATTTAAAGACCCTCTTGTTGTACAAAAAAAAAAAAAAGGTTGCAGTCACGAATTAGTTAATACTTGTATTAACTAATACTTGCCCTTTTCCAATCCTCATTTTTTGGAAAGGAACAACAAATCTAGAGTAGGAGTCAAAAGCGAGATTAGGAAGGCTGACATCGGCCCCCCTTGGGACTGAATTTTCTATTTACTTCTCTCACGCGCACAGAGCAACGCATCCTGCTACTGCACAGAGGGCCCCACGCTCCACCACTCGATGCTAGAAGCACCATCACACCCACCAGCTGCGTTTCACACCTGTGTCCTCCGCTGGGTCTGAAACAATCATAAAGAGGCTCCTTAACATCTGTGCACGGCTAAAGGGACGATACCCTCAAACGCCAGCTATGCTGGTAATACCCCCCACAGCAGCGAAACCTAAGCTGTTGAGGGACCCGTGCGCTGAACCTCTTCACCGGGCACCTGAGGCTCGTCTGCAGCACGGCTACGGACTGCCGGTTGCTGCACCGCACACTGATGAAGCAATGCAAAAGGGTCAAAGCCAATTTAAAGCATAGTGATACAAATCAAGATTTACATGAGAGCACTGCAGGGGCAGACACTGCCTTGCTCTCATATGCAGGGTTACACAGCTATGACTGTATCATGGGTTGTGGAAAAATTTGCTGTCCCAATAGGTGCTAATGGCCTGAAGCCATCATTAGACACCTGTATCTGTACCGCAGGTGCCTGCCAAACCGTGACACAGCTGCTCAAATACACGTCAAGAGTTTTGTGCCAGGGATATCGACGCTGTTGTGCTGGGTCTTGCACTCTTCCTCCCAGGGAAGCTGCTGCACATGGATGTTAGGCAAAATTACAAGCCTCCCACACTTCTCCAAACGTTCCTGGAGAGGGGCAATTACCAATGTAATGATACAGCTCTCTGTTTCCCAAAATTCATTTCTTAGAAACAAACCCCTGAGGAGGACCAAATGCGCTGCACAGCTTACTCTCAAAATGGTACAAATGAACTCAGAGAAACCCTGCATTTGGGGAGGGCCGGGGACTTCAAGCTCACACTCACGCAACTGAGTCAGCCACAAAGATTCATTGACTCCCCCCTGCAAGACATTTACATTTAAAGAACATTTAAAATATTTTTTTTATAATCCCATTCAGCCAGAATGGTGTTAATTCCAGGTTGAGATTTCAGCTCTCATTAGCTATTCGCAGAGCCCGTCTCAGCCTGCTGGGAATATTTCTTTATTCATACAAGCAACGAGGAAGCTGGCGTACAGAGCTCAGCATCACGCTACGCATGTGGCTGAAGGGACATGTCACAAATGCAGGTGCAAATGGCAGGTTTCTAGGACAGCTCCATTCATTGTGACGTGGGCAATGAATTAAATGACCATTTTTTCCAAAGAGCATTGCACCTTCATTCTGTACTGACCTGTGCTCTTCGGAAAATCTGTTTATCGCTGTTAGGCAGGGCACTGCTGAGTGCTTAGCGTGCAAAACCTGCCCTTAAGCTCTTCACAAAAGTCACCTTTGTGCAGAAGGGACAAGACAGGACCACGTCTTGACATCATGGAAGGCAAAGGCTTGGGAAGCATCCTTTGCATGGGCGGGGGGGAGGGGGAATTTTGTCCAAAGCCTCTCTGGATTCAGTGTTTTTCTACTGTTTGCACAAACCTTCTTGGTGATGTTTTCAGATACAACAGAAACAGCAGGACCTGTACCTGGCACTAATTGCAGAGAAAGCATAAGTAGTTTTGGCTGTGTCACTGACGCCCCAGCTCCACGAGGCTCATCCCCAGCGCCACTGCCTGCCTGCGAGGGCAGAGCCGGCAAGGGGCTGCCGCCTGCTCCATCGGCACGTGGCTCCCACCTCGCGCCTCGGTGCGACAGGAGCCTGCCTGCCTGTCCAGAGCGCTGCCACGGCACAAGGAGCAGGACGGAGGTGCTCAGTCTGTGGCAGGG